ATTCGTAAGTAATTTTCCTTTTCTTTCTTTTTTTTCTTTTCCTTTTTTTTTTTTAATTCCCTTTCAAGTGGCGAGAATCGAATAAATAGAAAAATAAAAACGTACGGACGTAATAAAAACGGACGGTGAATAACGTGTCGAGAATTGCCTTTAATCATTCATGGGCGCGATGGAAACGCACTTTTTTCACTGGTTGTTGACGGAATGCATACGCGAAATATAATTCCCGGCTCGAGGTGGCACGTCTCACGCGTATTATTACGTGTACGGCACCGACGTGTCTAATTACGTTCGGTTCAATTTCGACATTACGTTTCGACGAGAATTAATATCTTAAGGGGAGACCTTATTATTAAATCGTGTTTTAAATAATCTCACGATTTTTTCGTTTTAAACTTTATCGAATCGTTCGAGAACGAGATCGTTCGGCGAAGATAAAAATTTAACTCGATCTCTCTAAACTAAATTTCTGCCCACGAACACTTGATAAATTCGATAATAATTTTATCAAATTTATATCCTCAATTTTCCTCACCTCCTCAACTGTGCAAAAATTTAAATGTACCAAATATATATATATATAAAAAGAACCTATTAAAAAAAGTAAGGAAAGATAATATTTTCGCAACAATCGTTGAAAAACCAAACGTGTCTCGTGTACGACGCACGAGCGTCCATACAATTAATTATTGACCCGTTTTAATCGCGTTAGGTCTAATTAGCGGGGAGAGGGAGTCCGTCTCAAAGTTGTTAATTAAATTGGTTAATGCGATAAAGGAGTCCATAGCGGAGTTCTCTCCGTTCCCTTTCTCTTCCCGCCTCTTTCGCCCCCTTTTCCGTTTCTACATATCGGTGTCTTCTTTGTGTATTCCGCCCGCGCGGAAATGCGCCGCGAAACGTAGACCAGAGATACTTTCATCCACGGCGATTATTTCAATTATAGCAGCTTGGGCTCACGATCAGGCCGAGAGCCCTCTCCTTCCTTCGTTGTGTGTAGTTCACAGGGAATATCCGCGGCGTGACGACGAGTAATGCACGAGTAGATGTTTATGCCGTCGCCACGGTCTATCGTAATCCTATTGAGGCGAGGCTGTTATAATATAAGAATTTCAATTGAAAGGATTACAATAAGTCGTGTAATTCCCGTATTCGTGTGCTTTTTGGTTAATGGAATTTTTCTTACGTAATATATGTATGTACGTATAATTTTCTCTGGTAGTAATTTTTAAAATAGAATCCTTTTCCGATATAGGTTTCTTGGCGAATAACGTTCCTCTTGTTTACGAAAATCGAGTGACTCAGTGACGAAGCGTTTTTGTACGCTTTTCCGTGGCGATTCTATTGATTTACAGCCAGTTTATTATAAGCTCGTCGCTTTTTTAATTTCTTCGTCTGTATAATTCTCGAAGCGTTAAAGTGGATCCCCGCCCTATTTTATTATCGATCTCTCCTCCTATATTTTTTTTCATCGTAATCGTAAATTTAAAAATAATATGAAAATACACATCGGGATTACGTCTGAGAAGAATTTATTTAGGTGTAGTCGGCATCAAATGTCACGGGTTAATGGGGCAAATATAATAAGGAATGCAGATTGATACCGCTTATACATCCAAGTTTCAGTTTTAACCCCACGTTCTCGATCCTTTCTGCATCCGTCCATTGTGTCGAACAATTATAGAGCGAGAGATTAATCCCAGAAATCTTTATCCCAATTTCTAAATATAAAATATCCGAGAAATCGTTGGCACGACAAAAATTTCCAGAACGAATATTCCTTTCACGCCAAACGTTTCGAACGTGCAAATAAAAAAGGGAAAAAGAAAAAAAACGACTAAATTTCAAAACAGGGATCGACAACGATCGATCGAGTTTCAACCGGTCGTTAGCTGTTACCTAAAACCTTGGAACGATTATAACGCGAGAGGGGAGGGGGATAAATCGATAGCGGCCTACTAAATAATAAATATTTTTTTCTCGCCCTCTTTTACCTTAGATTCGAAACCGGTGTCTTCGAACAAGATGTTCCCAACCTATTTCTCTCCTTCTCTCATCCCCTCTCGAATTCTCTGTCGCGGATCGACGACACCTCCGCCTCGAAATAACCGGTGGCAGCGTTGCCACGGGAAGCCCGGCAGTCATTAATTATAATTAATATCGGTGCCGATAATGGCAGCCGCCGCGGTCCATATATCGGTGGGGCACGGATCGGTGAGAACGCCTCTAACGTGTAACCGGCCGCTATATACGTCCGTATAAATTTCCATCTTCCATCGAGATGATGATCGTCGTCGATGTTACACGCCCGTACGAGTGGCGGTCAATTTGTAATAGTGGTAGTAAGTAATAGCAGCAGCTGTGGTAGCGGTAGCGATAGTAGCGCTGGACAATTTCGCTCGGTTGTTGTGTTGGCCATTGGAGGAAAAGGGGTGGATGAAAAACGGAAGTAGAAACGCGGAATAAAGGCGGATGGAGAAGAGGGAAAGAGATGGGCGTATAAGTCGGTCCGAGTCGCGTCGACTTAAAAGGTATCGACGACGTGGATTAAACGTTGCTCGTTATACGTGTCGTGGTTGTAAATCGTCCTTGTAAATCAATCGACCGGATCTGACCGGGCTGAACGACCCGATAAATAGGATTAACCGATTTAACGCGGACGAGATTTCGCGACGAATCGATCATAATCAACGCTCTTGGATATCGCGCAATTAATTTTCGTTCGAGAAGAGAAGAAGGAAATACGTTTACATATATATATATTATGTATATTCTCTTGGTTTTGTTGCACGGGAACAGGCCAATCCATGCCAGCATCCGATCGTGATACTGAGGGACGTCGCCTCGTCGGACATGGAGTCGTTGCTTCGCTTCATGTACCACGGAGAGGTGCACGTAGGTCAGGAACAGCTGGCCGCGTTCCTCAAGACGGCGCAGATGCTTCAGGTTCGAGGGTTGGCCGATGTGAACAGCGGCGCTGCCAAAATTCCTCCTCCCTCGTCCTCAGGCGGGAACAATGGCAGTGCGCCGGTAAATACGAGTTTCAACTTTCGAGATACCGATTTAAATTTGGACATTGTAATTGGACATTGGATTTTTCGGGGTTGACAGGCGACACCGCGCAATCCTTGGCAAGACAACGGCAGAGGAGAGTTGAACGAGAGCGGTCTGAGCCCACCACCAGAGAAGAGACCTAGAAGCTATAGCCCACCGTTGGGTAACCACGTGGAGCCGAAGACCGACCTTCAAGAATCGCTTTTGGGCCAGGCTCTGGCGGAGGGACCTACGATACACACGACACCCACGAACAACGTTCAGGTACGGAAAAGTCGAAACACTTTTTATTCGCGGGTGAAGAGGGATGATTTTTATCGGTTACAGGCGCAATCTACCGGCGAGGACTCGAATTCCATGTCGGACAACGAGGAGGAGATGTCGAATAACGACAGCATCCTGAACTCGGTGAAGACCGAGCCAAGCGACATCCTAAATGATTCTATGGAGCATCACCGTAATTCGTTTCCGGCGCTCTTGGGAATACCAGGTAATTTCATCGGAATTGCCCCTCGCTTCCTTTGTTTTTTCTTTTTTTTCCCTTGATAAACTCTCTCTGGTATCGTAACTCTTATCTCATCGACTCGATCGAAATTAATATTGAACGGGACCGATATATCGCATTGTATTTCCTATTTAGAATCGATGACCGTCACAAATGAGACCCGTCACAGACAGGTTTGTGATTATGATCGTACTTGATACTTGCAGGACTGATACCAGGACCGTCCGGGATCCACGCGGCGAATCAGGATCCGAATTACGGTAAGTGATCAGAAACCAACGATTCGATTTTCGATTCGGTTTTATTACGTATTCGTAAGCCCAGACTATATAATATCCTCCCGTCGATTCCCTCAAGACTCTGGTCTCTCGTTGTTGCGTTGAATGCATGGAACTCTCGTACCTCTCACAACCCTGCAATCCCCTTGCCCAATTTACTCCTTTTGGAAAAAGAAAAAGGAAATGAATAAGAAAGAATAATTGTTGATAATGAAACGGAAAAAAAGAACAAAAAAAAAAAAAAAAAGAAACGAAACGGTGAGCAACAGCGTGTCGTAGAGCTACGTCTCCGACGGCTCTTCGAGTTCGTTTGCCGGAATAATATCGATTTTCCTCCGCAAAAAATGGCCTGCGATCATTAGAAACGGTATCGTTAGGGTTGCCATGCAAAAGAAAGACTCGATTCTTTTTTTTCAATAATCTCGAATCCTTTGAACGACCCTTCTTCTAGCTAAGGCTAATCGGTCGGCGAGGTACGAATTCGATCGACTGTTTAGAAAACTGTTAATGGAAAATAGAAAAAAAAATAATAATGATAAATAAATAAATAAAAATGACGTGAGGGTGGAGGTACGGAAATGGCAACGAAGAAGGACAAAGTACACACGTTACCACATTCAACGAACAGATATAAATAAAAAAAAAAACCTGACGAAACAAAATTAACACATATAAATGTGAAATATTAAACAATTGAAATTAAAAGAGTGCGACAAAAAACATTTTGACAAAATACAATCTACGATTCGATCATAAATATTCAGGGAATTAAACAAACAACACGCAATTGGGGGAGGGAAAACAGTGTAACAGAAATATAAGAGGAAAAAAAATAAATATAAATAAATAAGCAGAAATAAAGCAAACCAAAAAAAAAAAAAAGAATATCAAATATAAACGAACAGAATTGAAAACGAAGGGCTGTGGGAGGACAGAAAAAAAAAATTGAATAGTGTTTAAGGGATCGTACGAGGTTGGCTGAGGACTGACATTGGCTGGTGGTTCCAGGGCGATGGCAGCCCTCTGGAGGAGACGGTTCAAGCTCGAGTTCCGGTTGGTTGCCGGGTACGTCCTCCACGAGGAACGAGCACGCCGGGTCTGGAACTTACCAGAGCGGAGTTCACAACTCGAAAGGTCAGGATCTGTCGTCTCTGCTCCAGCAGCATCACCATCACCATCACCTCCACGCCACCAGCCAAGCGTCGCAGCAACACGCCCTAAATGCCCTGAACTCGCTCAACTCCCTGAATACCGAGCAGCTGTCGATCATGCATCAAAAGTTGCAGAACAATCTGCAAACGTTGCAGCAACAACAACAAACAGCGTCCGCGAAAAACGAACTGAATCTGATGCTTCAATCGTGCGCCAAGGAGAAGATTCAAGAGAGCATGGCGTTGTTCCATCAACAGACCCATCAACAGCGTCGGTTCCACCAGCAGACCGACAATTCCGCGAGCCAATCCGGCAAACCAAAGTGTCCGGAATGCGGCAAAATCTATTCGAACAATTCGAATCTGAAGCAGCACATCGTGAACGTGCACACGGTTCAAACGGAGTACGTCTCGTGTCACGTGTGCAGCAAGCAGTTCAAGACGAAACAATACCTCCAGATACATCTGTTGTCGATGCACGGTATCCGGAAACGGAAGAGCTACCCGTTGTATCAGATGCAGACACAGATGCAACAACAACAACAGCAATCGTCGGGCGGCCAAGTGTCCGGCGGTCAGCAGCAATCGCAACAGCAATATCCGGCTCCCGAGAGATGGTCCGGAGGAGAGGACAAACAGTGATCGAAACGCGTGTCTCGTGTATCGTTGATCGATCGAAGAACCACGCCAGAGACACGTGTGCCTCCCTTGGACCACGTATATATATATAGGGGTGAAAAAGGGAATAGAGAGGGTCGATGAGAGTGGATGCTGGTAATCTGTAATAAGTTGGCCCTGAGCGACTCTGATAGATAGCTCGCTTAATTATTTGGGATTAAGACAACTACGACCTCGCAATAATGTTTGTAGTAGATTTTATTGTACATACGCGAATCGCATGCGTGCGCATAGGGAAGTAAGTATTTTTCGCGTGAAACATTACACAGATAGTTTATTTTATTTTTCTTCCTTTTTCTTCCCCGGTTTTTCTTCTCCGCGTGTTTTTTTTTTTTTTGCCTCTCTCTGCCCCTCCTTCTTTTTTCTTTTTCTTTTTCTTCTTTTTTTTTTTTTTTTTTTTTTTTTTTAATTCCTTTTGATAGTTAGGATAAAAGAACGGAGGTGGCGATAGGCAAGGGGAGGGTGAAAGAAGAGGGTGCTGATACGAGGATTGGCCGACCTATTTTCGTATTGTACCGCAGTGCGCAGCCAATCCTTCGAGGCAGCGATAAGTAAGCCCCCCCGCGATTGGCCAGCGGAGACTTCTTGAATTTCTCGCCGGAATTCTTATCGGTATAAATAGTAGGTGAGGAAGAAAGAAGGATGCGTCAGCCTCGTTTCTTCGAAAAGAGAGTCATTCACGGGAAAACGTCGATAGGGTTGTATTCACCCCTTTTTTGAGGATTCGCGGGGAACCGAGAAACGGACGGGCATTTCTAAAGGAATAGCTGAACCGATGAAAATAACCTTTCTAATGGAACCGAATCTTATCCTGAATATTTCTCTCCCTCTCCTCCTTTTCCTCTTTCTTCTCCTTTTTTTCCTCCCCCTTTTTTTCTCTCTCTCGAACGAATCAAATTTTCCTCCTCCTTAATGCAAAATCCCCGACGAGGCTGCAATTAGATCGACCGAATTGCCGAGGTGTATTTTTACAAAGGAAAAAAACGGGGCGAATTATTTCGAACGTTTCGTGGCGTTGATGAAACGAATTTGGGGCGTAATATTCGTTTGTCTTTTAGCGAGTATCTCCGGGATGCTTTTAAAATATTGACACGCATAGCTAAAACTGGTAGCCAGAAACACGGAGGCGCGTTTCATTTGCTCTCTGTCGCTTTCTCATCTTGACGCGTCGCATTTCGCCGCGACCGATATATATATACACACACACACACACACACGATACGTTTGAACGTGTGCGTTTGAGTGCAACATTGTGCACCACCACCACCACCACAATCACCATCAACACACGTCGAACGTGCCCGCGCACATTTAGGCACACGGAATTACGAGGGCAGAAAGAGATAGACCGGGTTGTATTGATCTCGAGGATTCAACAAACAGCACCTAGTGCCTCCCGCTCCTTCCTCTCTAACTTCACCTTACTCCTCCACCCTCCACCTCACCCCTATCTCTCGCTTCGTTCTCCACGTATTTCATAGGATTCCGCTTGTCTTCTGGACGGAGTTCGACCCTTCTAATACCCTCATATTCGATCATAGTTTCTCTTCTTATCCTATAGTTTCTTTTTCTGTTTCTTTTCTTCGTTCGTCCTAAAATTATAATCGCGAAATTATGCGTATCCGGGTAATATTATCTATTATTTCAATATCATCCCCGATATTCGAATCGTCTTGGCAATTATACGTTATTTGGACGGTTATTCATGCGTGGCGTCAGTGTCATCTTGTCAACTTTATTCGTCTATTCTTTTTCATTCCCATTCCGCAATTAGATTTAGAACGGTAATCGTAAAGTTATACGATTATTATTATATTTCGTAATATGATAGATAGTATAGGATATATCGCGTAATCTTGATGCAATATCACGCGAGACGTTGAAGAATCAAAGAGTAAATGGATCTACGCCACTCACGGATCGAATTGTCTATCGTTTAGGTTGCACGGTGTCAGTGTCGGACCAGAGTTTTTCGAGGGTAAAGAGAGGAAAGTTGCAGGAGGACACGCGATACTCGGCCCTAGTGAGCGTAGGCCACGCGATGCCTAATACACGATCAGCCTACAACCCCCATTGGGAACCCCTGGCAAAACAAACCCTGCCTGGCTTATCCAATTCCACGGCATTTCCACGAATCTCTTCCATCTCTTGTCCGTGCTACCCAACCCTGACGCTCGTAGTTCCGACGTAAATGGAGGTGGAGCATTTGTTTCAGCCACCCCTTTGTCCTCTTCCTCTCTCCCTCCCTTTCTCTCTCTCTCTCACCTAGTGCCTCCCGCTCCTTCCTCTCTAACTTCACCTTACTCCTCCACCCTCCACCTCACCCCTATCTCTCGCTTCGTTCTCCACGTATTTCATAGGATTCCGCTTGTCTTCTGGACGGAGTTCGACCCTTCTAATACCCTCATATTCGATCATAGTTTCTCTTCTTATCCTATAGTTTCTTTTTCTGTTTCTTTTCTTCGTTCGTCCTAAAATTATAATCGCGAAATTATGCGTATCCGGGTAATATTATCTATTATTTCAATATCATCCCCGATATTCGAATCGTCTTGGCAATTATACGTTATTTGGACGGTTATTCATGCGTGGCGTCAGTGTCATCTTGTCAACTTTATTCGTCTATTCTTTTTCATTCCCATTCCGCAATTAGATTTAGAACGGTAATCGTAAAGTTATACGATTATTATTATATTTCGTAATATGATAGATAGTATAGGATATATCGCGTAATCTTGATGCAATATCACGCGAGACGTTGAAGAATCAAAGAGTAAATGGATCTACGCCACTCACGGATCGAATTGTCTATCGTTTAGGTTGCACGGTGTCAGTGTCGGACCAGAGTTTTTCGAGGGTAAAGAGAGGAAAGTTGCAGGAGGACACGCGATACTCGGCCCTAGTGAGCGTAGGCCACGCGATGCCTAATACACGATCAGCCTACAACCCCCATTGGGAACCCCTGGCAAAACAAACCCTGCCTGGCTTATCCAATTCCACGGCATTTCCACGAATCTCTTCCATCTCTTGTCCGTGCTACCCAACCCTGACGCTCGTAGTTCCGACGTAAATGGAGGTGGAGCATTTGTTTCAGCCACCCCTTTGTCCTCTTCCTCTCTCCTCCTTCCTCTCTCTCTCTCTCTCTCTCTCTCTCTCTCTGTTCGTTCTCGTTTTCTCCGTTTTTACCATCAACCCGCAATCCCTGCCATTCAACCGGTTGGATCGTCTTGTTCTTATTTCCTTGGCGTGAAACTGCGTCACCTTTGAGAGCTACCAAGCTCTAAAAGCACTCGCCGCCTCTGGTTTCACAGACAGGGCGAGGAAATGGTTTTACTTCCTCCTGTCGCCGAAGGTGATGGCCTGATGGTAACATATGTCTTTCTTTCCTTGTCTTTTTTTTGTGAGATGAGTGTTTTTTCTTTTTTCTTTCTTTTTTTTTTTTAACGTTTGGTATATGGAATTACTTATAAATTTAGTAATTTTCATAAATCAAACGGTGTTTTGGTTTTGAATTAATTAGCGAATGGTTCGAGAAAGGAATTTATAAAATTTTTCTATTTTCTTTCTTCTTTAATTTTATTTAATTTCTTCTTCTTCTTCTTTTTCTTTCCCCCCCCCTCCCCCTCCTCCTCTAATCTAATTTTTTCTCATCATCAAACGCAGGAAATCTTAGAGGACACTGGCGAAATCGACTCTCCATTTTCCGCTCTTCACAGATTAGAGTCATCTATCACCCGGATTCGATCCGGATAACCGTTCGTTTCGGACCTAGCCAGATTTTTATCTTACCTGATAAGTCTCCCCGATAAAAAACGTTGGCGTGCCTGTTCCACCGTTTCACCAAACTTCCTCCTCCTCGTGTACGCGATAACCTTCGACGTATATATTGGGGGAGAAGTTTTGGAAGAGTGATGATTACGATAGAAATTGCAAAGGAAAGTATAAAAGTCGATCGCGTGATTATCGCGTCCAAGGAAAGAATGAAAGATCTGCCCGTTTGCGTCACGCGTGTCACGTAGTCGGGGCAACTTTGCGGGAAATAACTTTCTTCCTTCTTTAATTCCGCGCACTTGTGTCACTTCTCCCTTCTTTGTGCACCGCTCGGAATACAGATTCCTCCTCCATTGGCCGAGAGAGCCCTAAGGGGTGGCGTTAAAACTTCCAAAGAGAAAGAATAAAAAAGAAAAGGAAAGAAGGAAAGAAAGAAAGAAAGGAAGGAAGGAAGGAAGGAAGGAAGGAACCTCGAACAAATAACACGCGAAGGTATGATCGATTAAGTAAGTATAATGTGGGGGGTTGGAAAGTGGTTAGAGAAGGGCAAAGTGGAAGAGACAAAGAGAGGAGAGGAAGAACAGGAAATGAGATGGGATGTAAGGATATTGTGGCCCACTTCGGCGATCAGATACAACGAGGCTTTAGGGTTGGTGGAAAAAAAGATGGCCACTCATAGGGAGGGGAGGGGGGAGGGGCAGGGTAGATCGGTCGAGGAATAAAAATGGGATTTCGTACGATAAGCGGCCACGTATACCGTCGAGTTCAAATGTTTGCTCGGTGGATTTCTCTTTTTCTTTTTTTTCTTTTTTTTTCTCCCCCTTCTCTTTACCTCGTCGTTGTGTATTTTTTGGTCATTTTGCTACTCTTTTTTTTTTTTTTTCCTCCACTTCCCAAGGTCCACCTTATCCCGATTTCCCGCTGGTCCTTCTCCTTTTCTTGTCTCCTTAATGTTCCGGAATCCCTTTTTTTTTTTTTCCCTCGCTCTCATCCTCGTGGCATCCACGTGTTGGCGGCGCGCGCGAGGGGAAGAAAGGATCGACCGAAGCGAAGGGCGGTTCATCCGATATTGCGTCGCCCGGACAAATGACAATTGCAATTCCCTTTTGGAATCTATCGCATTAGTCTTCTGTCCGGACGGCGATTCTTTAGATCGTTGCGTGAAATTACCTGTCCTTATCCTTATCGTTCGTTTTTTTTTTCTTTTCGAGGTAGAAAGATCGATCGGTAAATTTTTTATTATCGATAATGTTGTTATTTTATCTAAATTTTATTATTAATTTATTTTATTTACGTGTTGTTTCCTCGTTTATTCGAGATTGACTAATTTCGACGTGTGTACGGGGAAGAAAAGTCGTCGACAGAAAATTGACAGGAGGCGCCATTAACGTGAAAAAGGATAGCCGTACGAAACTAGAGCGAAGAAGAGTCACGAAAGCTTTGACACATGCTATAAACCCGTTTAACTTCACGAGTTACGTGCCACAGACGTCGCCTCTCGAAATTACGAAAGTTTGGCTCGCCATCAAGAAAAAAAATGACGGACAAAGATTGCGCGCGGCTGGAACATGTGTGTCACACGCCGCTCCTTTTATCATTGTTTCTCTCTTGCACGATCCGTGATATCGTTTTCATTTCATCGATTATTTCCAGGTTAAATGGGAAAGAAAATGGATAATTCTTGTTTGGATTTCGTAACGTAGAAAATTTCGTAACGTAGAAAAAGAAGTAGAAAAATATCGTGGAGTTAATTAAAGGATCTAAACCATCCTTTCTTGCATCGAGCAACGAGCGTCTTAATTAAATAACTCTGTAATTAACGATTCGCGTTATTTTTTTTTTTTTTTTAATTTTGCCAATACGACACGTGCCACTCAATTTAAATTTCCCAATTTCTGAGGAACATAGAACAGAATTCGCCTACTATATGCAGGAATACTAGACTTGTTCCGGCCGGAGAGTATCGATTGTTCCGCGTCGAACGATAGAACGAGATTGGGTTTCACGGTTGCAGCAACGACGGATGGGGTGGTGGTGCAGCACACTTTAGCAGGAAGATTGATTAAGCTGCCGCAGCCACCGCCGCCCACGCGAGGTATATTAAAGACGTGACCCGACATAAAGGAGAACCCCCTTCGTCTTCAGCTACCATCCGTCTCTTTCTCCCCCTTCATCCACCCCTATCTTCTCTCTGACCACATTGATTTTCCACGCCACTCTCTCTACCTTACCCCTCTTTCTCTTTCTCCATCCCGTTCCATCGCATCACTTTCGTCTTCTTCTTCCTCTTCTTCTTCCTCCTCCTTCCTTTCTCCCCGGTAATTTTCTCCTCGCCGCAAACTCTCTTCTTGCCTCCTCCGCTTCCTCGCTCGCCTTCCAACAAGTACAAACAAGTACGATGGAAGAACGTTTTCTCGCGTTTCTCCTCCTCCTCCTCCTCCTCCTCCTCCTCTCGTTGTTATCGTCGCCGAGCCACCACCGTGCTCCTCTATCTATCTATCTATCTATCGTTGTTTACTTTACTCGTAAGCTCGAGCCAACACTCGAAGAAGAAAGAGGAACAGAGGAGAGCCAGCGAGCGACCGACCGGAATTCTTCCTCGTCTTCCCTTCGAGCTTTGCAAGTTTGATTGAATTCCACGACGAGTGGCCGGTATCAGGAAATGGACAAATGGTTGATTCGAGCTCTGTGTTCCACCTTCCCCTCCCTCTCTCTCTCTTTCTCTCTCCGCAAAGTCTTTTTTCCCTTCTTCTTTCCATCAGACGTCCGCTAGATAGAAAGCTTTTAGCCTTTCCTATCCGTGTTTCGAGCCCAGCCTCGAATCGGGGGTTATTTTCGGTTCTCACGTTCGCCGGTAGGGATTAGAGAGGACGCGAGAGATTACAGAGTTTCGTTATTGCCGCGCTAAATGTTCGCCCCCGTTGTAGTCACTGAATTAAACCGGGGAGATAGAGCTTTTATTAAAAGCACGCGCGACGCTTCAATTTTAAAACCGTGGCGCGGATAGGCGTGTTCGAAATTAAAATAAAGGTTGGAAAATAAAACGGCAGCGGGGAGGAAAGGTCAAGGGTGATGGAGATGGCGGAACGAATGGGATATATATATATATATATTTCATCCTTCCTCCATTATTTCACACGTTCTATTTCTCATTTTCTACCTTCGTTATATTTATTATACTCTTCCTCGAACTTTTCCGTTGTCCACGTTGTCAAGAATTTTCTACGCCGCATAGAATCGTATTTTTCACTTTCCTCCGAAACGATTCATCAATTTTCGACCGAAGGCACTACCCCCGACCGTGTCCCCTCTTCTTTCTTCTTTTTCTCCTCCTCCTTCTTCTTCGTATCTATATAACCGTCAACCTCTCGTCGGATTTGGGATATTCATTTTCCTTGAAATTCCCGCTGGGAAGAGATTTCGAAGAGATTTTGTCCTCTTAAACAGTTACTTTCCACGCTCCTCACGTGAAATTGATCAGCCAGCATAATAATTCATCTATTTCCACTCGATATAGAGATAATCGTGTTCCGTGAGACGCTCTGACTCTTTCATCCTTAACGATTAAACGACTATCTCCAAAAAAAAAAAAAAAGAAGAAAAATCGACCATCTCGTCCCCTTCGATAAATACATTCGAATTAGTCGATTTCCTATCCGGTGAAGATTCACGGCGACGCAACAAATGTCCTCTAAAAATACGAAGAAATGGGAACAGTCGCGCTCTGCGAAGTCGGTTG